CCCCCCCCACCTTTTCCCTCGCAGGTTACCCTGGATTCCGATGAGGAGGACGACGTGTTCGCGATGGAAGAGTCGGACGAGGAAGCACCGCCGCCCCCGGCAAGGGCCAAGCGCGGTGGCGGCAAGGGAAGGACGCTCACCAAGGCGGGTGGCGCGGCTGCTACTAAGGGCAAGGGAGGCAGCCGGGGCAAGGCAGCCGCTTCGAAGGCCGCTGCCACCACCACTCCAGCGAAATCCAAGGTGGAGAACACCCCCCAGTTGGTGGAGTGCGCTTGGCGTGCTTTTGGGTGGTATGGCCAGAGCTCTTCGGGTGAATTGTTTTTTTTCTCTTGCCGGGTGGATCCGAAAGGTATTAACTGTGCGGAATGATGATGCGTCACGGATTGCGACGGCCCGCGAAGTCCTGATGCTGTTGTTGGGGTTGTGACGACGCGGTGGGTAAGAGTTTCGATGGCCCTCGTTCTCTCCGTTGGTTGGGACTGGTTTGTCTCTCTCTGTGCTCGCACCGGCCCATGCGACCCAGCCCTAGCGGAGGGTGCCATCCCACGCTCATGCTATCCCGCGCAACGAGAGAGAGGAGCATGCTTCTTTTCGCTCCTTTTCCCGTTCCATGTTGCTGTATATATTGTCGTTACTTTGTCGCGTGTGGATGTATTTGTTGTTTCTGACGACGTACGTTGTGGTTTGGTCCCCCGTTTTGTTTGGTTTCGTCAGGGAGTGAAAAGGGGAAAGCGCAACAGCCTGTCGGATGAGGGCGACGTCTTCTCTCCCCAAAAGTGAGTTTGAAGCTTCACCTTTGTTATTGTAATCTCGATGTTACACCCGAGGCCGTCCTGTTCGACGGCCGACCAAAATCAAAAATAACCTATATTTGTTTTATTATTCTTGCGTGATTGTTGTCTACGCCGGATAGGGAGAGCCTTACGACAGTGCATTTTTTGCTCCTGGTAGGAATATTTGGCGTGGTGTTTGTTTTCTTCTATTCTGCCAGATCGTTGATTTTGTTTGTTCGCAAAATGTTCGTTCCTCGAGGAGTAGATGGACTTCGAGACCCGTATCTGTTGGTGCTGTAACTGCAGATGTTGGACCTTCCACTCTGTACTAGGTTATTTGGCGCGGCGAAATTGGGTGAGCGAGTGTTTCGGAGAGTAAGTTGCGCTAGTGGCAGGGTCATACGTTCTTCCCTGCCACTGCTGTTGTTCCCCGCGAAATGCGTCCGACGTGACCCGTGTGATGGCGAATGGGTACCGTTGCCGTGACCGCCGTTACGATCTACACTTCGAATATATTCTCACGCTCGACAACAATGGCAGGATGTCCCCGCCCATGAAGAGGGCTTCGCAGAAGTCGACCCCGGCCGCATCCCGGCTCCGCGCGAACAAGCCTCTAGCCGACGACAGTGACAGCGACAAGAGCGACAGGTACTGTTGATGTTGTCGAGAGAGAGAGAGGGGAATCACTGCTGTCGCGATATTGTAGGGTGTTGGGCTTTGGTTGGGCGGTTCGGCGCACTTCACCTCGAATCACACCTGTTGAGACATCCAACCAGAAATGTGCGTGTATTTGTTTTTGTTTTTTCTTGGTCGTTACCCCCTCCATCTCGATTTGCTGCTGTTTATTTTGTCGAGCAACTCCTGCCTTGGTGGTTTCGCTGACTGTTTTTTTTTCCTTCGTGTTTTGTTCGTGCTTGCTTTTTTTATTGTTGATCTATGTTTTTCAGCGAGGAGGATGACGACAGCGACGTGGTGGAAGTTACCAAGACTCCTCGGCCGGCTCGCAGGGCCGGTCGCACCCAGAAGGTAGGTTCCTCATCACGAACCCTCCCTCAAGAATAAAGAGTCACTGGGCTCGGTCCAGAGTGTACGATTCCACCGGCTGATGTCACATTATCGTGTGGCATGCAGCATGGACGATTTCGCCCAAGAGTCATCGCTTGCAGCGTGTGCTGTTTGGGGTCGTTGCTATTTAGGGTCCCGGTGCCGTGGTAGATCTCGAGATATTATTTGTCTCTTGTTCCCGCCGAGGGCATACACCCAATGCTTTCTCTGCAGTTGTGGAGTTCCGTGCGTTGTTTTTCTCGCCTTGCCCGTTTTGGTTCATTTGCGTGATGCTTTCCTCGTTGTGCGTCGTATGCATTGACAACGGGGAGATGATCTGTACTTTGTATTGCTTCAAAGCAGTTGGAGTCAATGGAAGACAGCCAGGCCCACGATTCTGCTGCTATTTGTAGCCCATGTCATTTCCATTGTGGCGGTTTTTCTCGTGCCTCAGCTATAGGCATCGCTTGGGTTCGCCACAAGCACGACGTTGTGCTTTGGGATATTGTACTCCAGTATCGGTTAATCACATCACTATTGCTGGTACGCATGACGGTCTGAAGCCGTGTCGCAATACCCACCGCACTCTTTGGTTCTCGCTTGATTCGCTTCATCAACAGCAGCAACAGGTTCCGTCGTTCAACTCGTTCTGGCAGCGTGACCGATCAATGCTGCACTTTGTGTGTTGTGTGGTGTGATTCGTTCCTCATCCAGGTGGTCTACGCCGAGCTAGACTCTGACGAGAGCGAACAGGAGGAGGAGGAGGAGGAGGATGACGATGAGTCTGGTAAGTATTGCGTTCCGTGCAAGGCGTTTGATTTCAAGTAGGCTGTGCTAAACGTTGGCCACAGATCGATCGTGATCTCCGTAGGCTTAAGACATCTCTTGTTCAGGGCGTATAACATTGGATTCAGTCTTTGAGGTATGTCACCGTGCGCGGAGACATGCACTCTTGAACCTTAAAGAATTGCTTTCGTGGATATTTCGGTTATGTCCGCGTGTTTTTCGCTTGTAGCGATTGTGTGTATTGCTATAACACTTCAAAATCGCGCCGTACACCCGACGATATGGCCTGTGCATCGTCCCCGGTGTTTGAATTTGATTCCGGTTGGCTCATCGCTCATCTTTCTGAAACGTGCGGTGTCATCATTTGACTGATTGGTCATCGCATGGAATCGTCTTCGCGTGGATCGTTCCTCGTCTATTGCCGTGTGTACGTGACAGAGTTCGAGGGTTGAAGCCGCTGCTGAGCGGAAACCACACAGAAGCGGATCGTTTGCATGTTACCAGGAGCGGTTGGCTTGTGATTCCTGGCGCGCCCTTGTTGGAGCATTGAATAGCCCTTGAGGGGGGACAAGTTAGGACCCTAATACCCCCGGCACTGGGCCTCGAACAGCCTGGAGCTGAGTCGAGGCTTGGGTTACCCTGTGGAATGTTGGGAGGGGTGGGGGGTGGGGGGGATTGTGTAGAGGCAAGGCTTGGGCTCACGCCTCAGCGCAAGGTACATTGGGCAGGGGGGATTCGGTGTATGTCCGATGTGAAGCAAAGCATCATGGAGTAGTTCAGAGTATGGTATTCAACTATTGCGGCGAAGTCAACGGGATGCAAAGTGCATGGCGTTCTGTTTCCACTTTGTGCGTGACATGACGTGTGAAGCGTTTACGCGCTTGCCTCATGTTGTCGCATCGATGTACTCTATGTACGTCACTGTCCGGGCTATTTCGTGTTTTGTTGTCGTGGAGTAGCGGCGTTACGCTCATCTCGACCGGTATACGCATGGCCTCGTTGGACGTTGTTGCGTAGGTGGCCTACGATTGTGTCTTAAGAGGCATCATTCGGCGAATATTACCAACGGTGTGCGCAAGGATTTCTCGCTACATCAGGAATACCCGTGGAGTTGGTTGGTGTACAGGCAGCATTTATCGTACGTGAGGGCGCGGAATCCGACACCTGTAGGCAAGGTTGAACTTGGGTTGTTGGTCGTTTAGTTTCGGGGGCTATTGACGGGGCAAAAGCAGCGAGCAGGCGACGCCAAGGCTGATCGTGGAGATTTCGTCTTGGCGCCGGTCCAAAACCCTCGCATACATTGGGTGCCAATGTTGTAGTGGAAGGGTTAACCGAGTTGTGAATAATGTAGTGCGGGAATTTGTGTGTATTGGTTGTGTATCATATGGATGATGATCCAAGTATTTTTTTATTTTCCCACTCCACTTCGTTTTGTTCACAAGTTTGTTCATCGTGCAACCCACCGCTGGCCTCTGCTAGACACGATTTCGAATGGGTATCTTTTTCGTAACGTGGTGCGGCACGATAGGGACAGGAAGACTTGTTTTCGGAAAGTTCATTTCCGGATTCTCAACGGGAGAATTACCAGCGTTTCGTGGTTGCCGAGAAGGCATGTACCATTTTGCATATCTTGGGGAATCCGAAATGTTTCTACATGCTGCCATGCCCCTCTATGCAAACCCGAGGGGGTCATTTTTAAACTCGTTCGATTTGATTGGCTTTTCGCTGCGCGAAATGCGTGACGTCGTCGTTATTTTCGCTCGCACTGCTCGAGCTGTCAATTTCTGGTGAAGGTCTCAAGAGCACCGTGCGGTGGGCGTATATTGTTGTAGGGCGTCACCGTCGTCCCATCTAGACTTCAAGGCGGAACCACCCCATTCAAGTGTGGTGTCGGCAATGTCGCCCAGCCCCGAGACATCTCATCCATTTTGCCCTAAACAACGACGTGGCCCTTATCGGGAATGGGGGGAGATCTGCAAGACACCACGGGGACGATCTCCGTACGAGGCGTTGGTTTTCATTTCGCATACTTTCTAATACAGCAGTGATACTCACTGTGATAACGTCCATCGTATGCAGAATACGTGGAATGTGGGCATCGACCGAATGACTCTTGGCCTAGGTTATGCATAGGCATCACCAAGAATATCGCGTTCGAACAATGCGGTACCATGATTTACCTGGGAAACAACTGCGAGAGTATGTATGCATACAAAGTTTCTCCCTACGCCTGCATCAATAGTGCATGATCACTCCAGAGCAAAACGTGTAGCAATGACATATCTCGTTACAGCGGGCCAGTGCGCTGCCGTACAAAACGAAGACCAACGACAGCAGCAGCAGTGTAGTGGAAAACGCAGGTGTTCAAGCCCGTCGGAGGAAAGCACAACGAGTGAAATACTCTGCTGTCGCCGAGGTTGTCCAAGAAATCTACCTTCTGTTATTGGGGAAACGAATGTATGTGAGTTCGGGTGTCAGCTCTGAAGGTCTACTGTAGTTTCTTATGCTGACCCTCTGTTCATTTTTTTGGAACCATGGTACGGTCGTAAGCATCGAAGTTTGCTTTGTTCGGTACGCCACTCTGTAGGCTATGCATATGTGATGCGTCTATCAACTAAAAATATCAACAGCAGTAGGAGCGGTCTGCTGGATGCACAAGTCAGCATGTTTTTGATCTCTGGAACAAATGGCAAAGTTTTAGAGGACTTCATGAATATTCTCATTCAACCACAGACACTTTTACGTGATGCATGCGCTGTACGTAATACCTCAACGTTTACAAGCTCACAAGTACACGCCGGCGACAGGCGTCATGAATCGACCTCTCTTCTCGTTCTCGCCGCACCGCCGCTCCGAACAGGAACCTCTTTCGATCCAAAACCTCTCGTGGTATCGTTCTCTCGTAGCTTCCGCTTCGCTGCGCAATTCCCCCGGATCGTGCCCCTCGGCCTTTCCGGGTTGTGCTTTTGGCCACATAGCCATATCTGATTGACCAGGGACTAGCACCCGTGCCCATAAGCCCTAGATCAATGCAGCAGCAAGTTTGCAATGGCGGACAACACCGATGCTTCGCAAGGTGCTGCCCGCTCTATGACCTTCTCGGCCAGGATGCAGGATCTTCTGACCAATCTCGCGGAAATTATCCTCCTGCTACTGCCGCAGGCCGCCGCCTTCCGACCGGGGCAGGGGAGCAAGGACTTGGACGATAGGTTCATTCTTCTATCTACTCGTGCGCCGACCTGCCGGCCACCCGGAGTAGCTTCCACGATCTCGTGCTTATTGGGGATGATATCATCTGCGAGCAAACCAACGCGTGTTCTGCCGCAAGTTTTGCCTGGTTGTTTGCGATTCCAACCGATCCTGTGTTCTTGTGGTTCCCCGACCTTGTGCCTGTCTCGTGCATCTGCGATATCTACTCCGGCAGTGAGTCCTCCCGTGCACCCCCTCAATATTCCAGAATCCCAGAAACGTCATTGGTGTCCACCCAGTCTTTCAGTTGTTCATGCCGCTGGTTGCTCGGCGACAACGACAGCTGCCATACCGTTGTTGTCTGTGGAGTACACAGCAGTAATCACCCGCCGCGCTACCAAATCTGTGTAAAACTGTCGGTCGGAACGCTCTTCTTGCTCGCGGTAACAAGTCTCGGTTTATGTGCCATGCAAATGACCGCCCTGTGATTGGTTGGTCTCAAGGCTCTGTGGCTCTGCGGCTACATCAGTAGTTCATTCCGCCGCACCTCTGGTGGTGTGGGGAGGGATTTTTTCTGCATATATATCCATCCCGGTGTACCACAGTAGCCGTGTTTGATACGTTTCACCCTTGGCGGCCGCTATAGTCAAAACCGGCATCGATCGCACTTTCGTGGGTTTTTGGCCGGTTGTTTCCCACGAGCCCAGTCCTCTACCTGTCACGAAAACCAACGATACGCTACTGTAGGGATCGTGTTCCAATTGGCTTACCAACGAGGTATGGACTGTTCAAGCGCACGAAACAGGGAAGCCACCATAGTTCGCGGGTTGACGCCCAACCTTTCGAAACTCGGGAATTTGAACCTCAAATCAGACACACAACTGCCCAGACAACCCCTGTTACCTTCTCAAGAGCAAACAAGCTATGTGCGAGTGTGACTAAACAAATGATTTTCAAGTGCCGCCCTGCGAATCGAACTACACACCCAAGAAAGGTGAAATTTAACCAACTCTGTTAACTGATGATACTGCTGTCAGGTGATCGAGGTGACCAAGGGAGAGCAGGAGGCTCGGTTCATCGGCGCGCCTGCCGTTCGAATCAAGGGCGCCCAGTTCGACATTCGCGAGGGAGCGAGCATGTACTTCGGCGGCGCAGCATGCGTGTTCGATCGGAACGAGGTATATTGTGATCCTTCCTTGCGCATCTTGTTCCTTCCGTAGTCTAGCAAATGGGCGCACTTCGAACGTATCGGCCGGATGCCTTGCCTACATCAATCCCGACACTGGGTCTGACTACGTTTCTGGACAGCTACAGCAGTACATCGTACTGGACATTAACGAAAAACAAACTGCTAAAAGGTACGTACACTCGATAGGCATGGTGACACGCAGTTTACCCCAGTGGTTTAGTATAGTGGACGCAGTCCTCCGCTGGATGTGGAAGTGCTTCTCGGAATCGTGCGTAAGAAAAGATGTTCCTTGCGATAGATCTGGCGACTGGACGGGAGCCTTTTGTCTTCGTGGCCACGGGATAGCAAGCGCCCGCGCCCAGCCAAACCGCGCTGTTCTACCATCGCCTGTTCGTCCTTTCCTCTCCACGCTGCTGGTGTCGGTGTTGATATCACCATCACTCCTGCATACACTGGTAGGGGGAAACGGAAGGAATCTCTTAGGTGGACGGCAACATCACGTTCCACGCGGACAACCCCAAGTACACGCTGACGGGGGGCACAACGGTGGGATGTCGTTGTTGTTGTTATTGTCGATATTTTGGCAAGCGTGGGTGGTTGCTGCTGCGGCTGCTGACCTGCAAAAACGTTTACCTGTTATCAGCTGTCTCATGTGGGTCAAGGCAAAACAATTATTCAGGCCGCGGCAGTTCTAGAGTCTCCACACCACGCCCTGTTTGATGGTAGGCACGGTCAGATTTTGAGTCAAGAGCTATACTTCCTGGGCGGAGCGCCGGCACGTAAACGTTTCGACCACTTTGGCCACGATCTATCGTTGACATCCTGTGCATGCTTGCTTGCGCAACGGTGTTTGCTGCTGCTGTCCTTCGCCCTACCTCGATCGTCTGGTGGCATGGTACCTACTATCACGAGACTATATACGTCCTGCGCTAACCCCGGAAGCAGCATCCATACTTCTGTCGACCACGAAAGCCTGACTGCAACGTGCAATAGTACCATCAAAGTGGCCGTTGGAGAGATGGACAGTGTTGACTAAGGTGGCGACTCCGTTCATCGCGTCACATCACAGGAAACTGAAGTTGCCATGCTCGTTGGATAGATCTTGTTTGTTGCTTGTTGCTCGCATTCGCTTGACCAAGGGATGTCTCCCTTCATCACCACGTCTGTTTTCATCTGACACTTAACCTGCGTTGGTTAAGCAGGTCGGAACCAAACCACACCCTGTACGTTGTTTCCAATTCTTATTGCAGTTTCTCTTCCCACGAACATGTCACCCCCCCCCAACGCTCGCACCGTCTGTGCGCCACGCCTCACCCGATTGTGATTCCGCATTGACCAACACCCCGACACAGGAAGAAGATCTACACTCCGTGATCCGCGCTGGACAAGAATCCAACATCGACACCACTGGTGGGTCCTTTGCTTACTTCAACGAGTATCCAGTGTCGGTCGTCTCGGAACCAATGAGGGCTCTCCACAAGGCCATCGCCGACTTCAAGGATACGGACGACGACAACACCGACACCACTGATTAATCGATAAGAGGGAGGACCAATACCAGAACCAGCAACAGCAGCAGCAGCAACAACAACCAGAGCAGCACCAGCAACAGCAGCACCAGCACCAGCGAGAACCAGATCAGCAGCAGCAAGAACCGGAGCAGCACCAGCGCCAGCAGCAGCAGCAGCAGCAGGGGCAGAGCCAGGTGCCCGAGCACCAGAACGCCGGGAGCGAGAGCGAAGCGCCCCTCACCGCCACCGACGTTTCCACCTCGACCAGGGGTGCTCAAGATCTCGCCAACACAGATCCCGCGTTTGTTCCAGTTTCTGACACTGACGCAATCAACGACGACGACAAAGACCTATTCGACGAGGGGTACGGGCACCATACCCAGGAGAACCACCAGCAGCAAGAGCAGCGGGAGCAGCACCAACGGCAGCAGCACCAACGGCAGCAGCACGAGCAGAAGCAAGAGCAGAAGCAGGGGCAGCAACAAGAGCCCGCGCGCCAGTTGAAGCAAGGCATGCAGGAGCAGCAGCAGCCACGGCAAGTCGACAACAACCCGCCCGTCGACTCCGCCATATCCCCCCCTTCGCGTCCGACCGCTGAGACTGACGAACAGGCCGATAGCATGCCCCGCGCTAGCGCAGACAAGGCCATCGAAGAC